CCACCCCCTTCCTTCCCCACAATGTATGATCTATAATCTAGGAGATAACAACGCGAAAGTCCAGAGGTGAGCACATGACGCCATCATTTTGATCTGGTGGGAGTGGCTAGAGATACAAACTAATGAGAGACAACGAGGGATATAACAAGGTTACCAGTGATTCAATCCACCGGTGCCAAGCTAAAATCGATACATCAGTCTTGGATGGACTTTTCCTTTAAGGACTATTGCATCATGTACTTCAGAGAAGTTTAAAGCAAGCACTTGTAAGAACCAATAACATACAAAACGTGATCACATGATGCTTTTCATTTAAGGTTACACCTAGAGCAACTTGGTTGTTCCCATTTAGAAGATGTTTTGTGCGTTTGTGTTGAGGACGTTGCAAGGGGGGAAATGACTGGACGCAGGGCCGGTGCTACCACTAGGCAGCCCCTTAGGGCGCACTGCTGACTATGGCCCAGCCTAGACCACTAACCACCCCATGGCACCCCCCGGTCTATTTCAAACTGCAAAAGCCAACAGCAGGCTGGCTATTGCACCCGCCCACAGAGCAGAGGAGCAGAACTGAGAGACAGCTTTCTCTCTCAGGTTCGCTCCTCTGCTCGGTGGGTGGGGGTTTCAATAGCCAGTCTTCTATTGGCTATTTCAAATTAAAATATCCAATAGCAGTCATGGCTATTGCTCCTGGCTGCTTACATCCACCTGTCGCCTGCAGAAGCTAGCCAGCAGGAGAATGGGGCCGCGCAGGGGCAGATTGGGGGTTGTGCCGTTGGAGGGGGGCTGGGGGGTGTGTGCAAGTAGCTGGTCTTGCCTAGGGTGCAAAATAGTCTAGCACCGGCCCTGACTGGACGACACTATAAGTGGTCATGGATCTTTCTGCTGTTGCCTCTAATATCATCATTGGAGTCCAGCAATTTGGAAATGCCAAGATACAGTGTCAATACAAGCTTTATAATCATGAAAATACCTGCTGCAAATTTTGTGCATTTGCTAACAGAAGTCTATCAATAGATTGTACATAACTACTAGGTCCAGCACATGGCCTGCAGATGATCTGCATTGTAAATATAATGTTACAAGTTTTTCTGTTGACCTTTGCTTTAGAGCTGCAGCTAACGATTATTTTCAAAATCGATTAGTTAGCCGATTATTAAGTTCGATTAATCGGTTAATCGGATAGAAAATTAAAATTAAAGTTAGAAAAAAACGGCTCCATTGATGGGACTGCTAGTTTGTATTGCGATTGTAGTCCATCACAGGAGCAAACTTGGAGCGGTGGAAGTAAAAAAGAAAAAAAAAGTGTGGTGTGCAATATAGTGAAATTAAAAGTGTAAAATTGAATGAATGCAGAATGCCACCGGCTATAGAGGACTACAAAACCCAGCAATAATGCATTATGGGTGGCGGTATTCTGCATTGCGCTGTATAATGTACTATTGCTGGGTTTTGTAGTCCTCTATAGCTGGTGGTGTTCGGCATTGTGCTGTATAATGTATTATTGCTGGGATTTGTAGTCCTCTATACAGCGCAATGCAGAATACCATCAGCTATATAGGAATACAACAAATCCCTGCAATACATTATACATACAGTGTATAATGTATTCCTCTATAGCTGATGGTACATTGCTCTGTATAATATACAGTACAGCACAATGTACCATCAGCTATAGAAGAATAAAAATCCCAGCAATACATTATAGAGCACCATGTGTGGGAAAGTGCAGTCGTACCTGAGCAGTCTTCCAGCAACTTGCTTCTGAGATCGGGCCTGTCTATCTGCCGCTGTCATCCCCCCCACCTTCTCCTCCTTACTACTTCTCCCCGCGTCCCTGTGCCGATCGTGGATGTGGGCGGGCGGTGAGCGTGAGGCGGGGAGGAGGTGCGGCGTGTGTAGCGTGGATGCGGGCGGGTCTGGCAGCGGCGAGCGTGAGGTGGGGCGGGCAACGTGTGTGGAGCTGTGGACAGGGGCACCTTATCAAAAGCAACTTGACAACTTTTTCAATAATCGATTATAATCGATTATGTCGATTAGTTGTTGCAGCCCTACTTTGCTTTATATGAAGGGCTCTATAAGTCAGTTCTCCTAAAAGTCCAGGTCATCTTGATCAATAACGTCCTCTTCCAAATGCTTCTTAGATTTACCGTCACAATCCTCAGCGATTCCATTGGTGTTTATATGCAGCTGCCCTTTACTTTCGCATTTATTTATAGTACCACCGGGGCTTGCTCGTGGAGAGTCCCCATCCTCCCCCTCAGAGGAACTATCGGGGTACATCTGGGAATGTTTACTGCTGGAGCTTTTTGACTGTCCATTTGGTGAGGTTTCCCCTAATGTATTGTTTGTTTCTTGACATCCTTCTAGATCCTCCGCAGAGCCGTTCTGTGTTATGAGAGAAGCTTGACCTAGACGAGATCTCCGGAAGTGTGAACTGTGGGGTTCAACAGCTTCTATGTCTTCCTCTTCAGAGTTTTCCTCAGTTTTGATCACAGGGTTCATGGTGTCATTTTCTTCATGGCAAGCCCCATTTTGAGTACACTCGGCTGCTACAGCATCATCATCATCATTGATGGGTTGTTCATCACCGGGGTCAGAAGTCTCTTTCATTTCCTCATGTTCGGATGATAATTCTTGAGCAGAGTCCTCAGCTCGATCATTGTGGATGTCCTCGATCTGGTTTTGCAAGTTATCTTCGCACACTGCTGTGTTGTCGTCATCTGCTGGGCAGTCTGCGCTCATCTCTGTCCCTTGAGCACCTGCAGAACATTTGTTCAGCTCATCAGTAATAACATTTTCTACTTCATCATCCAAATCTTCAGTAGATTTTTCTTCCGTGTTGGAGTCTTTGTTTTCCATTTCTTCTTCGTGTGCAGGTTCACATTGAAGGTCATTTGCTTCACATATTTCATCTTCTTCTACAGCTAATTTCTCCTCCTGGCCTTCAGCCTCATTATCTACACAATCTTGTCCTACAATGTCTGATTGTGTTGTCATTTCATCAGCAGCTTTGGAGGATAGAGAGGCAACATCAACATCATCTTCTTCATTCTGACCATCAGGACAAACGTTTCCAGTTGTGGCCTCCACATCGTTGTCACCTGCTTCTTGTCCAGCATTTTGTGGTTCATTGTTTTCCCTCCTCATCTTCAAAATCTGCTGAAGGTCAAATGCTCTCATGATAGGGGCATCTACAACAGGAGGCCTGGGCTTTGCTAGTTTTTGGGCCCTCTTCTGTTTTATGCATTTCTCACATGGGCAGAACTCATCGTTTGCTAGTCCACTGCTGTCATCTGCAAACGAAGCACTGAAAGTTAGCTCTTCTTCATCAGTCTCGCATGAATCATTAGTTCCAGCTCCCATGTCATTGCCACCTGCATAACCATGCATGGACCTTCGGTGCATTGTTTGCAAACGTCTTCGCCTTTCTTCTGCTTCCAAAGAAAACTTGCTCCTCAGACCAACATCGGGGGGCCTTGGCACCCTAATTCCAGCTCGACTCCTAATTTTCTTCAGTTCATTTGAAATGCTCCTCTGGATTCTTTGGCTTACCTCATTCTTAAGTTCTGAAATCATTTCATCGAGGTTGTCATTATTTTCTAAGTTCCACCTGACCTTAAATTCATTCATTGCATCCACATAATGAGTCATAAATTCCTTCTCAATTTTTTTCAATAGCTGTAGTACCCAAGCTGGGTCCGTTTTAAATGTTTGGTCATTAGTGGTTGGATTGTTTTTCTCATTTGAATCAGATGTAGATATGATAGTGGTCTGACCGTCACTGGAAGAATTGGCATCGTTCATCTCCTGTGAGTTAGATGTCTGGGTTTTCGCTTCGTTTCCACTATGGCTAAGGATATTCATGGTGGCATTATTACTCATGGCATGTTCCTCTGCAGCTTCTATATCAGTACTTCCATGTCCTTTCATAGAGTCTTTTACATCTCCATCAGAGTTGCTGTCTATCTTTTTTTCATTCATATTTTCATCCATCACATAAGACTTAGCCTCATCAAAACCAGCATCAGTAGTCTCTGTTGTGGCTGTTTGACCACTTCCTGTATCCTGGTCTCCAGAAGAACCCGGCCCTTCACCACAACATTGCACGGTTTTGGCATCACATTCCACTTCCTTAACTGCGGATTTTTCAGTTGCAGTACCATCCGCTCCACCAGTTATACTACCATCACCCGATCCACCAAACCCACTGTTGATGTCAACACCAGAGGATGAAACTGGAGTCAACTCATCTTCTCGGGAATAGTGCTTTGCAGACTTAGGATCCGTTATACTTTTACTGGTTGGACATCCTGCCCATAGTGCCTGCAAAATATTTAAAAGCTCAATATACTTTGAGTCATTTGAGTTTTTTGTAGGATCTGTTGGACCATCGTTTAGAAGTTGAAGACCAGCAAGGCATGAGATTAGGACCTGTGCAGAGTTACTGAGCTTTCTTCCCATGGTTTGTGATACTTCTGGTAAACTGTTTGATCGGTCAAGTTTTGATTCCTGGAATGGATTCAGAAGGGCTTTCATTATTTGCACAGAAGCATGTATGTTGTTTGGTAACGACTTTTTGTCACGGGTACAGTCCTCAGTCCCTGCCTCGTCTTTCACATTATTAGTTTTCGAGTTATTTGACAAATCGGGCTCATCGATTTCTTCCTTATCGGACAAGTTTGCGTCCGCTGTTTTATTATTGTCATTATCGGTACAACGCGCATCAGTCGCCTCCTTGTCAGTCCGGTCCTTTGTTTGCTCTTCCGTCGTGGAGACCTCATTCAGCTCACCGTTGTCCTTTTCCTCAACCTCCAGTTTTGGTAATTCAGTTTCGACATCCATAACAACCTTTTTCTGGCATTCTTCAACGTCATACTCAACAACCATCGTCTCTGAGGGAATCCTTTTAAGCCATTCGTTCACAACTTCTTCTGGAGAAACATTGGGTAGGGCAGATGGTGTAAGCTCATTATTGTTTTCTGCATCTAAAGATTCGACTTTGAGTTTTCTCTTTGAAGAACTAGAGCTGTTTTTACGTTTTTTGGTATTGTGAATATCTTCTGTACTATTATTTTTGGAAACAGAATTTTTTAGCATTTTGCAGGTCTCGATGCTAGCCTTAGACACCAACAACCCCTTTGATGCAGGAGTTGAAGCTCGTGAGCTATCTAACTTATCTCCGTTAATGTTTCTCATTGGGTCACTGTTCAGGCTGTTACTGGAATATTTATAGTGAGCGGATCGCAGATGTCTTTTGACTGGTTTTTCTTTTGGAGGTGAGGGGCTGTGAATGCAGGGAGTCTCCGAAGCCGATAAGCTGCTGCACCTTTCAGAATTTTCTTTCTGACCATTTAGCTTCTCCCCATCTTGACTGTTTTGGGACACGGCTCTGTCGCTGTCTTTTGAAGAACTGCGATCACAGATTTCAGAGGACACGACCGATTTGCCTTTCTTCTCAGACCTTGACGACACTCTCGAACTATCACTATAGTTTTTTTCATTTTCCGTACAGCTTACATTGTTGTATTTCGAGCTGAAGGATTGAGATTTACTTGATGGCCGTGAAACTGGAAGGCTTGCCCGACCATCTCCATCAGCGCCAGCGCCTGTGCATTCTTCAGATTTTCTGGTGCAGTGAGATTTTAAAGATTCATTGCAACTATCCTCTTGGATTGTGACTTCATGGTCTACTTGCTCCTGGGGCAAAGCTGCTTCTCCTACTGGTGACATTGTTTGGTGCGACCGGTTAGACTGAAAGCTTTGTCCTCGACTTGCTGCGTAGGGTTTTCTATGTGATTTAGAAGAGGCAGATCTGTTATCAGCAATAATAACCTCACCGTTTTCTAAACTGTCCTGGTGGTTCAATATTTTTTCGCCATTTTGGTTTGAAATGGAAGACAAGTGGAGAGAACTGCGGGAACCTTGATCACCGTTTTGGCTACAGCTTCTGTGTTTCTCTCTTCTTCTAGCTGAAGATTTGGAATGAGAGCTTGCCCTTGAGGAACACTTGTCACAATCACTTTTGCTGGATTTCAAGGGGACATCTTGGGCTGTATGTCCGCCGTTTTCTTGATCTTCTGTTATAAGTTCATTTGTGGTCACTGGTTGCTCTTCACATGCTTCACTGCAGTGGTCTCCAGACACTCCTGTTTCAGTGGAAACACTTCGCATATTCATAAGTGCTGCTTTAGTTTCGTCTCTTTCTTCATTTTCATTGTAACTGATATTTGACCCGAAGCTCTTGGTGTTAGCGCTGTCTCGCTTGAATAGTCTTCTCTGACTTGCTCTGGATTGCAGTGACTCTGAAACCCTACTGGCTCTTGGACTACAGTTTTCGCCATCGGAACAAGGTGTGGGAGGTGGTTCACTGCAGTCTTCCATGCTTCCCCTTTCGCTTTTCAGGTGTCCTTCAGAACGCTGTGACTGTTGGTTCTCCAAGGACATTTGACTCCTGCGGCTAGAACGTGACCTGTTTTGGCTGTCACCTGTCTTCTGCCTGCCTGTATCTGAGGATGCATCCACATTTGAAGCTGCAGTTGATTGACTACTATGACTTGTGCACCGACTAACTCTTGAGTATCTTATCGTCGTTTCTCCATTTTCTCGAGTTTCAGAATAACAAGAGGATTTGTGGACAACGTGCTCTGTGTACTCCTCAGAAGACATGGTGCGGAGGCTGTCTATGGAGGCTTTTTGATCAGACACTAATTTGTGGTGTGAGGAAGCGCTTGAAGCAGATGATCGAGTTTGCCAAGTTGCCCTCTTGGCATTGTCCTCTTGAGGGTTGGCATGCATGGGGTTCTTCCAGATGTCATAATCTTGACACTGCATGCCACAGTTGGCACAGTACATGTCTAACTCTGCGTCGTTAAGCTTTGAGCTGTACGAGTCGCCGTCACATGGATAAAACGACTCGTCCGTCTCAGAGAAGGTGTCTGGGTTCATCTCTTTTTTACCATTTTCATCAAACAAACAAAGCTGTTCACATGTTGCCTTGCCCGTTGTGCTGGACTTCTTTATCTGTGTTGACCATTGAAGCGTCTCCTCGTTGAGTAAGCGGAAACGCACCTTCATCTCCACCGACAGGCTGCCATCTTTGTTGACGTGAACCTTCTTTTCGATGTCGTCATTGATCAGGGAGTGGCTGGTGTCCTCGGATTTTCCGTTCGGACATGTGTTGGAATTAGACGCAAAGCCACTGTTTGCCGGCGACATGTTTAGCCCGTTTGGATCGGATTTTTCGGACGACAGGGATAACCTGGTCTTGTTGCTTGATGCAGAACGTGGGTGAATCACACTCTTCTTGGCTTTAAGTCCAAAATTTGCTGCGGGATTGTCACCATGCCAAAGAAAAAAAAAAGAACATAGCGATTAATTAACACATTTCAGATGGGTTGAGTCATAAAGACACAGTTTAAAAATGTTTGACTTTTTTAGAACTTTTTGCATGCTCTAGAAGACAGTCCATGAGGCAGCAGGTATCCTTCACGCCCATTGAAGTGTAAATCCAGCCAAAACATTTGTGTTAGTTTTGCATAGAGTGAGGATGACTTGGATCTTCTGTTCAGTTTCTATAGCTGCCCACTTGGGATTTTACCCCTTTACTTCCTGTCTTAGTGTCAACCTGAAATCTTAAAGGAGATCACACACTCCAATAAAAGGTTGAGTGAAGTTCTGATCTTTCAATGGAGTGCTGAAAAAAAGAAATGTCAGTATTGTTTTCCTGTCTCTTTTAGAGGACCTCTGTTTCCAGTCACAGTTTTGTCACCAAAAGGAAATTAAAAAGGAAGCCTGCCCAAGGGGCCACAGGCAACAAGAAGAGATTCTAGCCTTTCTCTGTACTCGGAATCAGTAGCGTCACAAAGAGGTGGGGGGGTGCGGCCCGCACCCGGGTGACACCATTGGAGGGGTGACACCACACCAAAATGACTCACAGTCATCCCCCTCTGAAAAGTCGGGCGCTCGGTCATGGACTGAATGCCCGACAGTATCAGGAGAGAGGAGGGGACCCGGCGGCATACCTTATCCCGCCGGGTGGCTGTCTCCTCCTCTCTCTGCCGACGTCCATCACCAAGATGGCCGCCGCCAGATATCAGAATACTGACGCGCTAACGCTTGCGCAGTGACGTCTCGGCGGGGTGACACTCGCTTACCGCTCCGGGTGTCACCCAGCCTCCGGACGCCCCTGCTCCGAATCTTAAAGCTGACTACCCTTCCAAGTTACCCTTGCAGCAGGGCTCTCCTCAGGGTTACCTGCTTGTTTCTGTCTAGGGGGGGGGGGGACAGAAAAAGCAGAGATACTTACCTTAATTATTGCTCCTGCAGGCTTCCACCCAGCTGCATGACCGGGCCCAGGAAGCCGTTGGTTACACTCTGATGTCATCATGTACAATGTAGGTCCAGCAGTCCTTTAAAAATTTTTTGGTTTCCTCTCCCTGTGTAGGGAGGACCCGATGGTCTTTATTATATTTACTTTAACACACGGTTACTACCTGTATTCATGACATGAATATGCCGCAAACCTATCTCCTTGTACCGTCAGGAATACTACATGATGTTGTTTTTGCTCACTGACTCCCGGACCCCTACATATCGGGACCTCCTTTTCTCTTTAATGTTTTTCAAAGCTGTCATTGCCCTCTGCTGCTTTCAATCACCAGAAGAGGACTTGATAGAAAAATTCTATCACACAGCTGATTGACAGTGGGCGGGTACATTACCTAGTTTGCTATTGGCTATTGCAAAGTGCAATAGCCAATAGGAATCTAGCTATGGATTCGTATGCCTTTTTGTTTCTTTTCTGACGGAAGGTCGGGCTGCGGCTCCCGATGTCCGAAAAGAAAAAAAAAACGATCACAGGGAAAGCTTTATCTGCTCGATCTAGCAGATAAACCTTTCCAGGAGGAAGTGTTTCTCTCCCGGGCCGCCGGGAGCCGCTATCCAATAGTGGGAGACTCCCGGAGCGTCCGGGAGAGTTGGGATGCCTGCATACCTACTTCTTTGTAATTGTTCTGAACAATCTTTTTTGTCTACAAAAAGTTTCAAAATTTCAAAATAAAGAATTTATTTAAAAAAATGTTTTGGTTGGAGTTACACTTCACTCTCGTAGCTGCGCGTGGGAGCAGGAATCACATGGAGATGCCCCATCCATCACCCCCATGTCTCCTAGTGCTGCAGCGTCAATACTGTAGATACTTCCTAATGGTCCATATGTATACCCAGCGAAGGGAGGCCAGGATGAAGCAAGAGTGGTGAAGGGGAGTATATGAGAGTGAGCATCTGCTGTGTGTGTGTGTGTGTGTGGGCGAATGACAAATCATGGACTAACACTGACACTGCATGGGGTGACAGTTATTACAAATGAGCCCTTTAAAGCGGATGTGGAAATAAAATTCAAGGTCCTCTTACACTCCCTGGGGCCCCTCCTCCATCACAAATCGCCTATCAGTAGGTGTAAAATGTACCTGTAAAGAAGACAGTTTGGGTTTATACTTACCCTACCCCCTCCCATCTTCCACCTGTGGCCCCTAGGCGAGGATGTGGATGACATCCAGGGAAGGCAGAATTTTGCAAGAAGACGCACTTGCAATGGACTGGGATGTCTTCTTGCGAAATTTTGCCGGCTTTGCATGTCCAGGAAAAGGAGTTGCGCTAATATCGTGCAACATAAAAATTTGCAACTGCCGCTATTTTATTCTATAGGATCTCGGCTTTCAGAAAATATATAGGGGGTTATTCACAGAGCTGCCGTAAGGCACCCGTGTGAATAACCGACCCGAAGTGAAGTGAGCCGAACGCTGTTCGGCTATTCACTTCAGGCTTGTACAGCTGATTTCAGCCATACATCGGGTGAAATCAGCCGTACATCGGGTGGCTTCGGGTCGGCCGAGCATGCTCAGCATGTTCAGCTGACCCGAAGTGCAGAAGAACTTCGACTCAGCCGATCCAACATCTGGATCGGCTGAGCCGAACCTCCGGCAGGCTACTCGTTGCTGTTTCTCCTATTCTCATATATGCCGAATAGTACCTGGTGGTACCGAGCAGAATAAAAAAACAGTTAAAAAAAAGTTGTTTTTTTTTAAACGATTGAGCGGAGCTAGCTGTGACAGTTAGCTCCGCCCAACTGTTTTGTATTGGCCAGGACCATCTGTCATTACAATGAGAGCTTGTCGGAGCCGGCGGGATATGAAAGCCGACTCTGCTAAGCTCTCCTCCTAATGGCAGAACAGCGTCCCCTGGTTACCTAGTAACCAGGGGACGCTGTTCTATCATTAAGATGAGAGCTTAGCAAAGTCGGCTTTCATATCACTGCCGGCTCTCTTAAGCTCTCGTCGTAATGACAGATGGGCGTCCCTGGTTACGGCTGGCTCCGGCCACTTGCAGATTCAGATCAGCATCCCTGGTTACCAGGTAACCAGGAATGCCCATCTGTCATTACACACAGAACCCGGCGGATATCACGGCATCTCTGACGGGTTCTCAGTGTAATGACTGAACGGCGTCCCTGGTTACCTGGTAACCAGGGATGCTGATATGAATCTGCAAGTGGCCGGAGCCAGCCGTGAGATGGCGGCC